ACTTAACATGCCTAGTGATTTAGTGCCTTGTTACACTTGAAACTCGTCCTCTTATACCTGCTTTGGACTAGTGATGTAGTGCTTTGTTACACTTAAGACTCACCCTCTCATAGCCATAATGTTTGACAACTCTAATGCGGCCGTGATATGTGGTTCTAATTAACAACTGCATAGCCTCGGACTATGATGGATATCAAAGTCCTCATGCAAACAATCACATCTACACCCACAACCACAATTTAAAACTAAAGACCGCGGTTGCAAATAGATTGACAATTAAGTGTATGGAAGCAATGTGAGTGTATGGAAATGAATTTCTTGAGGTTCCTAACTATTAGTTTTAATATTTCTTTTATTTTACTATATTCCTCTCTTGTCTTAATAATATGATTTTATGCAGCTAGCTTTAAATGCTTTTCTTTCCTATTGAGCGATGATAGCACTAGTGATCTTAAATTTTTGTGGATATCACTTTGTAATAATTAATTGAATGGTCAAAGTCATGATTGTGCTTTGTGTCGTGTAGATGAAACGAAAGGATATAAGCATTGATAAAGTATATGATGCACGTGCACTAAGAGTAGTTGTGGGAGACAAGAATGGAACTTTACACGAAAGGATATAAGCATTGATAAGTATATTTATTTTAACTTTTTTTCTTATAAATATTACGAGTTCTGAATATGTTTATGTGTCTAAATTTTTTATTCCAGTGGCAGCTACACTCTCATAATAATACATATATATTTTACCATTAATTATTTTTTTCATGTAGGATTATCAAACTATTACTTCACCACCTGTCTATATTAGTCCATTTGACTTAGGTCCTAAGTATGCTGATAAATTAAGAGTAGAGTTTTAGGAGTTGTTTGCCCTGCAAATAAGCATGATTTTTTTTGAAAAAAAAAATCAATCTACATCGGTTCTCTTGAGAACTGATGTAGATTTAAGCTTAAATCTACATCGGTTCTCCAGAGAACCGATGTAGATTTATGCTTAAATCTACATCGGTTTTTCTGAACCGATGTAAAAAACTATACATTTTCTACATCGGTCTATTCTACATCGGTTTTAGAACCGATGTAGATGGCTTTAGAGAACCGATGTAGAATGTGCATATTGTAGTAGTGATCCTCAACCGCATGCTGATGATCACCTGTATAATAATCAAAGGAAAACAACACAAAAAAAGGGAGTGAGAAACATCTCACTCTAGCTCACGGTGTAGGAATACACACCAGATAATCAAACACAAACAAGACATATATATCCCAGACGAAATTGGGTGTCTACATGTGTACCTAGTGAACTTATGTTTAGGTGTTTGATCTTTAAAGAGGGTCATAGAAGAAAAGTTAATATTGTGGCAGATGCCTCGAGTAGGATGACCATTCACCTACCATCTTTGATGATTTAAGGGTTGGATTTGATTAAAGAGTTAGAAACTTAAGCGTGTTGTGTGAGTCCACCCTTAGAAGCATTTAATTGATTATGTTGAAAGTGACTAGTGAATTAATGGATGAGATTAGAGAAGCCTAGGAGTTAGATCGTTTCTTAGGGAACCAAGTGGAGAAGATTGGTAGAAGTATAGATAACCATTTTTGAGTAGAAATTGACGTTGTTTTGAGGTGCAAGAACAAACTTGGGTGCTTAGTAACCTTGAATTAAGAAAGATGATCTTAGAGGAGGGACATAAAAGTACTCTTAACATTCATTTAGGAGCTACTGAGATATATCGAGACCTTAGGAGGATGTATCAGAGTGGTGCAGCGGAAGCATGATGGCCTAAGATAAAGAGAGGAATAGAGGAATTTGTATACTCGTGTTTAGTATGCTAGAAGTCTTTAGGAATTTTTGGAGCACTTAGACGTCCCATTTTGGAAGTGAGATGGTGAATGGATAGACCTTAGTTGTAGGTTTTTCTGAGACGCTTAAGAGATTGATTCTCTTTGGGTTATAGTGGATAGACTCGCCAATTTTACTTGTCTTACCCTTGTTTATAATAGATATTCCTTGGTGAAATTGATACAGTTGTACATCAATAAGGTAGTAAGGTTGCATAGGAATTAGAAAGCAAGATGCGAGGAGTCTACCAATGCAAAAATTTCAGGGAAGAAATTTCATAAAGGAGGGGAGAATTGTAACAACCCAATTTTCACTGGGCTAAGAGCCCAATTAAGGTGGTTTACTAGCCTGGAATGAGCCGTTCCAAATTACTAAATAGATCTACTTTTGGTAGCCTAGAACGGGACGTTCCGTATTTGGAACGGACTATTCCAAACCATTGAATTTGCCTATGATTCTTAGTTGAGAACGATTCGTTCTTAGCTAGAATGGGGCGTTCCAGATTTTAGAAATGGCCTTTAAACCTTATTGAGAACGGGCCGTTCTAGTTTGAGAATGGGTCGTTCTAGATGTGAATTTTACTCATGATTTAAGGGTCCAGAACGGGTCGTTCTAGATTTGGAACGGGCTGTTCCGGAGACACTTGAGGCCTATATATAGAGCACTTTGGCACTCCCAAAAGGCACACTTTTCACTTTTCTCTTCTTTTCTTCTTTGCGCTCACCGAGGGGCACTCAGAGGAAGAGACCATGGAGATCTCTATTTTAGTTTCAAACTACTGTTTATCCAGGTACGAGGAAAAAAGGAATTATTTGTATGTAGAGTTACATGAGGGAATTGGGTAGAGGAAGAGTCCCTTAAGATTATGAGTAATTTTATAATTATTTCTGTTTGAGGAATTGTTGATCCTATTAGATTCTGTATGTGTTGAGGATTAGAAATATATATTTAATTTGTAAGAATAATGATTTGGGAGAGAGAACGAAATTATAGAAAAGTGTCTGTGAGTTAGGTTTTGAAATAATTGGGGGTTTTACCGTTATGTTAAGATTATATTAAATTGGTAATTCCATTGAGTATTATATTAATTTATGAATGTTATTGTTATATTACTTGTTAAGAATTGATAATCTAGATGTGAATTGCTTGAGGGGTGTGTAAACCCTTATTTTGTTAGACTTATCTGTTGTGTATATGGAATTGTGTATATGATATGGAATTGAGCTATGAGATAAGATGTTGTATGGATGTGATTATGATTGTGATTGTGGTTCCTCACATCAATGACTAGGGATGACACGGCCCCCAGGGAAGGGATGCTACAGGGAGGGGGTGACCCTGGCATGGTGTGGGATGAGTGAGGCAATTAACCTGTATCACTTATGTCAGTTGTGGTGTGGCCTTGGTATAGTGTTAATTGTAATATTTGTGTTGATTGTGATGGATTGATGTAATTAAGATGTGAAGATGATGAATGATTGATAAATTATGACATATATAAATGCTTGTGAATATTTCATTCAGTAAGGAGTTATGATGGATTATGTTGTGTTTTTCCTTGTGTGCTTTCCATATAGATATTTTATTTTCTCACCGTACAATTTGTGGATGTTTTAGGTGAGGAAGATCCGACTTTGAGTGGCATCTAAAATGTCAACCGTTGAGTTGTGGGTGTGCTCGATATTGTGACATCGGGACAAAGAATTATAGGATAAATTTTTATATGTATTTAGAGTTATACCTTCTCTTTTGAAAGCAATTTGTAAACTCTCAAGTTTTACTTTCTAAATTTTATTTTTTAATTATTTTGGTTATTTCTGAAAGTTTTATGTGAACCCTTTTACCAACGTTAAATATTTTATTCGTTAGTTTATTTACAAGATTTATTTATATATGTGTTGAGGTAGTAAGGGTGTCACAGAGTTGCTTATAGAAACACTCTTCATAAATTAAGCAAGTCTTAGGATCAACTGATAATATAGAACAAAGAAGTTTTTGGCAATATTTTTTGACAAAAATGTTTTTAAAAGCAAAGGCAAATAGTATGTAAAATATAGAAAAATACAAGAAGCAATGTTGAATTGTTCATTAAAAAAATTTCACAAATTTGTTTGGAAGATTAAGTTTTGTCTTAACTCATAAGACAATACAAACAAATCCCAAAAAACCTATTTTGATTATAGATGATTGGAGAACCTATTATATCTTGAAAAATACTTTAAACAAATAAAGATTTTAAAACACGATTATTGTTAGTCAAGATAAAAAAAAATCAAATATATATATTAGTTCGTCTCAACCCTAAAACTAAATCCAATTCTTTAAGCATTGCTAAGTTTCATTATAACTTAACAAGTTACAAGTATTGTTTCATAAAGTCTATTTACGTTAAACTAAAGTAATCTTTTACTTGCCTCCCTAAGAAATAATCCAAATATTTTTTGCAAAAAAATGTCATTTTGGGCTTCCACCACAATCACTTAGATTTAGTAAAAGGTAAAATTATCTAACTTTTAACATCTCATCAAACATATATACAATTAATTGTTAGCTTAGGAATATAAGTTCCTTTACAAGTTTTTTTTAACAAGATAAGGGCTTCAGAAATGTTTGTATAGAAAAAAAATATTTGCTTATAATAAATTGATATCATGACAACATCTATATGTCTTGTTTAAAACTTCTTTGTTGTGTACAACTTTTCTTTAAAAGTAATCATTGAAAATTTGAAACTTGTCTTCTTTGTTTGTCTTTGTTGAATCCTGATAATTGATTATTAGGAATATTTAATATTCCATTTATTTTATTTTACCAATTAGTCATCTTGATATGATAAAACATTTTGTTTATATTCCTTTCTCATACTCAAAATCTTCTAGTAAGAAGAACTTTTACTTCTTATATTAGAAAGTACAAACATGTTTTTCTTCTATATCGTAAATCATAACCCTTTGATAAAAAAAAAATAGGTGCATAGATAAACTATATAGAAGATATACTTGAATTACATATCATGTATTCTTTAGACATAATGCTTCATTTTTTAAGCATTTGTTAGATAAAAAAAATTATCAAATATATACTAGGACTTTGTTTGTTGTAATTAAAAATTATAAGAGATATGATATGGACCTAATTCATCTGTTCATCTAACAATCTTCTCTATTTTTAATGATGACAACCATAAGCATAATTTTGAAAAACATTTTATCATAAAATAAAATATTTTAATTATACAAATGATTTAATGAATAAAAATATAATAGCAAAAGATAAACATATTACAGAAATTGTATATATGTATTATTTATCTTATTAGAGGGTGATCATTGACTACTTTATATTTAAGTGCAACTAAATTTATTAATTCAAATCAAATTATATCAACAAATTATAAGTTAAGATAACAAGAAACACATAAACATGGGGGTTGAATTGTGTGTATGCGTGATTATAAAATAATTTTGCAATTCTCAACTAATTATAAGTTAAATTACTTTATCCAACAAAAAACTTAAGTATAAGCAAGAGAAAAAAAAAAAAGAGTTTTATAATGGTTCATTCGAACTGAGTTACATCCAATTTTCTTCACATGCATTTGAAGGTTTCCACTTACCAACCTAGTTATATATACAAGTATTTTCTAAGTCATTCTTAACTTTACAACTATAATCTTATCCAAAATATTACTAACTTGGATATTCTTTAACATTAACCCTCTTTAAACTTTCACAAAATAAATATATCAGAAGTTTACAAGAGATTAATTCATAAAGTGAGAATATTAATGTTTAGCACAAAAACAAGATAATTTTGCAAAGAGTAAAGAATATAGTTATTTATACTTGTATAGTATTCTTATAGAATACAAAAGAAAGATAAAAGTTCAAAGCATTTTCATCACAATAAAAGTTGTTTCA